AAACAAGGAGTACCTAAGCAAACAGAAAGTTTAAGGAATTTATCCAAACTGACAAGTAATTGGGGTTGAATTTGTTGAAATTTAGGAGTAAGTGAACAGAGGAAACCAGGCAAATAAGAAACTCCAGAAGAAACAAACAACAACAGGAATTCAAATGGTAGAGAAATTCTAAAACGATGAAATCAAATCCAGAAATACTTCAAACCCAGTCAAGAAACACAAACTGGAAGGATTTCTAAAGCCGTTGGAGTTAGTAATTGCAACTGCACTTAGAAAGGCTACACTTTCTCCTAGCTGAAGCTACTAGTGTTGTAGCTCTTGGGAACCAAAGCAAAACTGAGTGTGAGATAATGCCGGGGCTGCACAAGAACGGCAATGAGAAAGACAGAGAGTGCATTTGGGATTGTAGTCAGCACCACGTTAGACTTCTTAGCATTTCTCTCATGCACTGCAGGAAACTAGCCTAACAGGGATACCAGGGCAAATGGCCTTGGGATGGGAACATCTTGCACCCACAAGTAGAGTTTCAAACACATGTTTTCTAGTCACACACCCTGCCACTTTTCCACAATTACCAGGATACTGTTGGTAGAAGTATATACAGAGATACTCAAAGACATCTGAACAGACATCCAGGAATGACCAGATTTTCAAAGAAAAAAATCAACACTGCTAAAGAAGATATCCAATGTAATAAATAGCCAATATTGAAAGAAGAGCTATTAAGATGATGAAAATTTTAAAGTGTGTGTAATCAGTATATGCAAAGAAAAGAATCATTATATTCATGATTCTGCCATATCCATACAACAGTAATTATCTACACCAAGTTGGGAATAGTGTGAGGCAAGCTCTCTTACTGAACCTGGGACATAATGATAGAGTGAGCTAGTCAGTAACCACCGCTCCAGGACTGGAATTACAGTGACCATATTCACCCGTCTTTACATGGGTCCTAGGGTGATCCAAACTCCCACCCTTACACTTGAATGGCAAGTACTTTACCCACTGAGCCCTAGCCCCGGAAATGTTTTAATTAAAACTATTGTGTTGAGTTCAAGACCAGCCTGGTCTACAAGAGCTAGTTCCAAGACAGCCTCCAGAGCCACAAAGAAACCCTGTCTCGATAAACCAAAAGAAAAAAAACTATTGTGTTATCTCAATGGGTTACCTAATAGTCTACAGCAACAAAGAAAAAGTAGTGACAGCAATAATAAAAGTTGTCACTAGTCATCTTAGCCAAATTAACATCATTTACAGTGGATCAAATGACATGTGTATTTTCCAGGGTAATGAACCAAGGACAATGTATTTCTTCTGTAACATTCTTGCTGAAAATATTTACTGCACACTTAGACATCGGGGAAAGGGTTCATCAGACAGCTCTAGATAAGAATAAAGGCATTCTATAAACTAACTGCTGTGGACTCCTCTTGATTGAAAGATAGTCATGAGATTAAAAAACAAAAGAGTGTTATATTTGATGAAAACAATGCAAGGAAACATGAAAAGTAAATGCTAGTCATAGCCTTTAAATTAGGTTCCTCAACTTAAAAATAAAGCTAAAGAGGACATTATTGGAATAGTTGGGTAAGCTTGAATAATAATAATATTAGATATTAATAATAATATATATCAAATTGTATTAATTACATTCAACCAGGGTTTTAGAATTATTTGATGTGATCATTTGTGTATGGGCGGGAGGCAATACAATAAAAGATTTGTTTCTCGCCAGTCTGGTCCTACAGCCGTTTCAGCCCCAAATGAACACACAGAGACACTATATTAATTATGAAACTGTTGGCTGATGCTAGGGCTTCTTATTGGCTAGCTCTGCCTTAATTATTAACCCACTTCTATCAATCTATGTATTGCCACGAGGCTGTGGATTACCTGGTAATGCCCAGCATGGTGTTACTCCTCCGACAGCATAACAACCCTGTGGTGGCCTCTGTCTGCTTCCCTTTCCCAGAATTCTTCTCATCTCCTAGTCCCACCTATCTTCCTGCCTCACTAGCCGAACAGTGTTTTATTCATCAACCAATAAAAGAAACATACACAGAAGGACATACCCCATCAAACATCCTTATTCTTTTTTCTCTATTTTTTGTATGTTTGGTTGTATGTTGCATGTATGTTTGTACACACGGGTATGAGTGTATATGCCTATATACTCAGAGACCGAGGAAGGGTGTTGAGCACCTTCCTATATCACTGTCTGCCTTATTTATTTGACACAGAATTTTTCATGGTGACTGAAACTCAATTTTAGGATAGGCTGGCAAGTGCCGGACCTCCCAGGATCTGCCTACATCTTCTTCCAGAGGTTATAGGCATGTGCTGCCATGCCTGGCTATTGCCCAGGTATGGGGATTTGGATTCAGGTCTGCATGTTACACAGCAGATTATCTTACCCACCAAACTGTCTTCCATCCTTGTTTGCCGGGGAATATATACTAAAGTATTTTAGGACTGCGTGAATTAAGGCCCGCAACTTACATTTAAATGGTTGATCATAAAAATATATGTAAAAATTCACATGTAATTTTAGGTAGCAACTTATCTGCAATTTTTCAAAATTTAGGGTGAATCCTATCAAGTGGCAAGAAAAGTTAACATAAAAGAGTTCACACAGAGACATATTTAAGAGCCATTTTAGGATTCAAAAGTTGAAAGATTATAGCCTAAAACTTTTCAAAGATCCATAAATAGGTTACGTACAAAAGCATCTCCGAATATAAATAGGAGATGAGTGAACAATGCCATCCAAGTTCTCAGAGAAACTTAGTTCAAACATAGATTTCTGTGCGTAGCCAATAGAACATAGAAGCAAGCATGTTGGAAGGGGATGGGAGATACATATTTTGAGGCACATAAAAGCTGAGAACCTTTTTTCCACAGATCTCCTCTGAAATAATCAGTCAAAGGTACATGCCATACATGCCTTCATGTTATCTAACCTTCAAAGTTTAAAAAACAGAGGGCTTTACTGAGGAGTCCCCCTTGACCCTCTTCCAAATCACCCAGATCAGGTTCAAGTCCACAGGTGAATTCTGCCAAGAGGTTAAGTGGCAAATAGACAACCACACTTGAGCCAGGGGGCAAATGCAAATGGCTTTAAGAGATCATTGCCCTCTAGCTATGAGATGATAATTACTTGCTTAGTTAATTTCCACCGAACAGCACATCGTAAGTTTGGAAAAACTATTCCTCAGGCCAGCTATGTCTCCAGCATCAATGTAGTGTACTGCAGAGGACCAAAGCTTCCCACCAGGCAACTTGTATTCATGCTCCAGCTGACCCTCAAGTTTCTGCTGTGCTTTGAGGAAGAGTGCATAGCTTGGGCTTCTTGGTGTGTACCTTTCTCCTTGTTTTGCTAACTCAGGAGACGGAAAAGACAAACAAGAGTCATCATCAGTTCTTACAGGAAAGGTAGACTTTTCCCATGAGCAGCCCTTCTCTTCACAAATTTGAGGGTATTGTCCTCATTGATGTTTTTGCTTTAAAGGATTGGTAACACTGATCTAAAAGGCAAAAAGTGAAGCTTCTATATCAAACATGCTCAATGGTGGCCAACAATCGAAATTTCTCTAGAATTATATGTATATATTAAAATAGAACTAAGTAAAAGAATATAAAACACAAGAGATCCCTTTTCTCCAAACTGCCTAATGTTGAACATAGCCCCTGCAGCTGCTGCTATAGCTCTGGCTGTTTCTGGTGGTGGCTCATGCTTGTAGTCTGAGTACTCAGCAAACTGAGGTCAGAGGATTGCCATGAGTTTGAGGCTAGCTTAGGCTATACAGTGTCAGCACATCCAGGGCTATATGACAAGATCTTGTCTAAAGGAGGAGGAAGGGAAAAGGGAAAGGGACAGAAGATCCAGAGGACCAAGAGGATTAGGAGAAAAAGCAGGAGGAGGAGGGGAGAACCAGCCTTTCTTCTGTGTCTCATATCAAGCCTAGTGTTTGTATTTAGTTGATACTCAAGAAATATTGTTATGGGAATGGGAATGAAGGAGCAAATAAACAAATAACAAATCTGGAGAAGGTTGGATCCTATTTCTCTGACCATTATTACGGTGCTGGTATACTCCCCTGTGGCTACAAACATTTTCAAGGTAAAATGGGGGAGATAATGACAGAGTATATATCTAAACCAAGGACTATGATCCTCCATCTAATTTCATGTACCCTTGGGGTTGAACCAACTTTTAGTGTTGTTTGGTATTATTTGTTTGAGGCCGGTCACAATGAACATGAGTCTTGGTGGCCAGTGCTTTGCTATGGACAGCTACTCAGGATGACGACGCCCTCCCTTCACACAGCACGTTAGCTGATGGGTCTTTAGTGTGTCAACACAGTACCACTGTACCATACGGCTGGGTTTTCTTCACCTAGACTGCTATATTGAAGTAGACTGGAGAGCCCAGGAATTGGTAAGCTGGTCCATGCTCTACTATAGCCTGTGAAAGTCATTGTCTGGGATCAGAGGAAACAGCAGAAGGTAGGGAGAGGAGCTCCCACACTCCCTGCTGAATGTCACCTGCTCCTCACTCTGATACTCACTCCTGACTCTAAGACCAAAACGCAGCTTGTGTTCACGGGCTAAATACCTCCTCCCAAGAAGGGTTTCTAAGTCGATCACGCCAGGTTACAAAGCAACTCTTCATCTAAGGAAGAGCCTTAAAATTTGTTTTGACCTTTAAGTGATGTTGTTCTCAGTTATCATTTCAGAATGTTGTAAGGGCATACTCTATACACACACAAACATGCATACACAACACACACAGACACACACACATATACATGCATACACACACACACACACACACACACACACACGTGTGCATGCACTTGCTTTATAACTCAGAGAGACATTAGCATTAACGAGGCATTCCACTCAAAGCATAGCCAGTCTTTGTAATGACACCCTGGGTAGAGAGACTGCATTGCTGATTTCTCACCCCTTCTCCTTGTCTAATAACCCTTCCTTAGGAAAGGAAGCTAGTGGAGGAGCAAAGAGTTTGGACAGCAAAATTGAGGAGAACGCTGAAGCACCTGCCCTGGAGGACTCCTCGTCATCCCCTCTAGACAGCCAGCAGCAGTCCTGGCAGGTTTCCACGGACATCGAGAATACTGAGAGGTAAGTGGGACACTCCGTTGGACAGAAGCGGACCCTCCTCCAGTCTGTGTTCTCAGGGGACGTTGAGAGTGCAGGGGTTTCTACTCCAGGTTCAGGAGAAACAGGGCCCACTGTGGTCTGACAGAGCAGCTAGGCTGGCAGGAACTTGAGTCTGCCTTACCTGCAGAGGGAAACCTGGGGAGAGAGTGAGGTGTTAGTAGGATTTGCAGCACTATGACAAAATTGCTGAGAAAACAACTCCAAGGTGAAAGCTTTTTCTTGGCTCTTGATGTCAGAGGTTATAGCATAGGAGTGGCCGGCTCCATTGCATTTAAGCAATACATGGGAGCCTATAACAGAAGATTGTATTTACATTATTTATGACAACCAGGGTGCAGAGAGAAAGCAGAAGGGGCTGGCGGCAAGGTGTGTCCTTCAGAGCCATACCCCTGGTGACATGTGACTTACTTCCTCCAAACTTGCCCCACCTCCTAGTTTGCCTTACCTCCCAATAATAAAGTCAAATAATTTATCCACCAATGCACTCACCTGCCAGTTAGGTCAGAGCCCTTATGGTAACAGGGCCTCCAGTTGGGGACCAAGCCTTCAACACATGAACCTGAGGGACCATTTTATGCTCAAACCACAGTAAGTGGTCCATACTCTATAGGAGGACAGTAGCAGGATCTACAACAATTCCAAGCTACTAGACCTCTGCCTACCTCCATCCTACACACCACAAATCCATTGCAAATGAAAACAATCTAGGAGTGCACCCAGTACTTGGGAGGTTCTGTCTCAAAAAGAAAGGAAAGGAGAAGAGAGGAGAGGAAAGGAGAGGAGAGGAGAGGAGAGGAGAGGAGAGGAGAGGAGATACTGCTTACAAGAAAAAAAGGGTGGACCTGTGACCATCACAGTCCACCAATGGCCAATTCCTAGATCACCCTTTTATTTATTATCCAAAGGTACTTGGGGTGTTTAGAATGTTCTACTTAGCATTTTGACCAGGTTTTCACAGCCATTTTCCTCTTCTGGAATATGGCTTATGGCACGTTGGTAGCCAGAATGAGTTAATGCATCGACCTACACAGCTTACTGCTAAAGAGGGACTTTCTCCAGGACAGAAATAATTCTATGGTGATTCTGTTTCATTGAGGAAAAGAATTCAATAATGATAAAAGAACAAGGACCCATCCCATCAACATGTTGAAAATGCTATTCTGTGAAGCAAAAAGACGAGGTCCTTGTGTAGCCTTCACACTAATGCCCATGTCCTTTGCTATGAATGTCTCCAGAGCTGACACAAGGCAGCTGAATGAACTCGGGGTAATTCTACTTCTACTCCATGTTCCTCTATGTGTATGAGTCATGGACAAGATAATGAACATTTTATTTTTTATTTTTAGAGATGGAACACACAATGCCATTGTGGTTCTACTTTCAGGTTATAATATCATTCTAAAGCTAATTACCAAATTTCTGTGTTTATAGGAAAGTGGAGAATCTGGTAATTGTGTGCTATTAATATAACTTGCATACACTTCGATATCCAATAATTCAAACAATGAAGCTTGTTTGTCTCCATTTTATGGAAAGATAAACAAATGATGAAAGAGTCATCTATCTTCATGTATAGTAATAAATTATTTTATAGAAAATTCTTTGATGTACTCCCAGAGAAAGGGAGTAGTGCATCTGTCAGAGTGCAATGGTCAGGGAAAAAGCCATCTGCAAAGCCATTTCCTTTTCATACACTCAGATTGCAGTTAGAGCCACACCTCATGCTTTAAGAAATTGCTGGGTGATGGTGGCACACGCATTTAGTCCCAGCACTCAGGAGTCAGAGGGAGGTGGATCTCTATGAGTTTGAGGCTAACCTGGTCTACAGAGCAAGTTCCAGGACAGCCAGGGGCACACAGAGAAACCTGTTTTGAAAATTCAAAAAAGGAGAGAGACAGAGACAGAGACAGAGACAGAGAGAGAGAGAGAGAGAGAGAGAGAGAGAGAGAGAGAGAGAGAGAGAGAGAGGACAAAAGAAAGTAATGTGTCGTGGCAGTGAGTTTGAGTAGGATAGCCTGCTGTGTTTGCAATGCTGCCAGCTAGAAAGGAAGTCCATGTTTTGGTCAAGGGAGATAGACCTGCCTGAGGAAAGAAGGCAGCAATAAACACAGGCCGAGATGAGCTTTGGCGTTCCCTTGCTCTCTGCCCAGTGCTCTGCTCCAGGGGGTCTCACATTGGACTGGCATTTAACTGGCCAGGAGAGCTCTTGAAGTCATCGGCAGCTGCCCCTCCAGAAGTCAACCCAATCAGGTTTTCTTCTTGGGTGCAGAGGAGGCACAGGTGATCCTCCAATGCAAGGTGACAATGGGACTTCATCCCAGTGGTGTGTGATTTGTCCTTCCCCTCCCATTCGACTGGGCTGGAGACCTTACATGGAAGGGCGACTGAGGGTGGCCCTACCTCCCTGTGGTGCCTCTTCAGCTTTGTCTGCATGCTGTGCCCTCTCAGCCTCACATCATTGGACGCCATTCTGAATGTTCAGGGGCTCTTTCTACACACTCACCAGGCTGCTCTCCTTTCCTTTTCCAGTCAGTGGTGCCTGAGACCTGAGCTCCCTTTGGTTTTGTTTTTTAATTAATTAAGTTTTTTGTTTTGCACCCAGACCACAGTTTTCCCTCCCTCATCTTCTCCCATTGCCTCCCCCACTTCTCCTCCACACCCCCTCCCATCCATTCCTCCTCTGTTTCTGTTCAGAAAGGGGCAGACATCCCATTGGGTGTCAACAAAGCTTAGCGTGTTAAGTTGTGGTAAGACTAAGCACCTCCCCTTGTATGAAGGCTGGGCAAGGCAATCCAGTATGAGGAATGGGTTCTGAAGAGCCCATCAAAGAATTAGGGACAGCCCCTGTTCCCATCCTTAGGAATCCCACAAGTAGACCAAGCTACACAACTGTGACATATGTGTAGAGGGCTTAGGTTAGTCCCATACAGGCTCTCTGGTTGTTGTTTCAGACTGTGTGAGTTCCTATGAGCCAGGTTAGTTGTTTCTGTAGATTTTCATGACCCACCCCCTGGCTCCTAAACTAGGCCTAATGTTTGGTTGTGGGTATGTGTCTGTTTCCATCAGTTACTGGATGAAAGCTCTCTGATGACAACTGGGGTAGTCACCAATCTGATCGCAGGAGATGGCCAGTTCAGACTATGTATCCACTATTGCTAAGAGTCTTAACTGGGGTCATCCTTGTAATTTGTGAGTTTCCATTGCATCAGAGTTCTACCTGATCCTGAAATGCCCCTCTAGTCATCTCTTTTCATTACATTTCCCCCAATTAATCGCCCCCAATCTGATCACCCAAGTTCCTATACCCACCTGCTCCCAGTCCACCAGGAGACCTCTTCTATTTTCCCCTCCCGAGGGAGATGCATCCCCAATGGGCCCTCCTTGTTACCTAGCCTCTCTGGAACTGTGGATTTTAGCCTGGTTATCCTTTACTTAACAACCAATATCCACTTACGAGTGAGGACTTTCCATGTTTGTCTTTCTGAGTCTGGGTTACCTCACTCTGGATGATTTTTTTTCTAGTTCCATCTGTTTGCCTTCAAATTTTCTGGTGTCATTGCTTTTAACAGTTTATTAATACTCTGTGTAAATGTACCACATTTTCTTTATCCATTCTTCAGTTTAAGGGCATCTAAGTTGTTTCCAGGTTCTGACTATTGTGAACAAAGCTGCTATAAGCATATTTGAGCAAGTATCCTTTTGGTATGATGGAGCTCTCTTTAGTGTCAGCTTGAGTCTGCAGCCTCCCCCAACAGTGGTCCTCCAATACTACTCAACAGAACAGTGGAGCTTTGTAAAGCAGACTGAAAGTTTCAACCCCGAAATTACATGGTGGTTCTTCCCTCAACTTAAAACAAAACGTAGTAAATATAAAATCTCTAATTTGGGAGTTTTCCTACCCCCCCTCCTCTTTTGTAGTTCTAGACATTAAACCTAAATCCCCATACATGCTAAGTAAATGCTCTACCCTTGAGTTCTATCCTCAATTCCCCCACTCCTGTTTTTCTAACTTTTTTGTTTTGAGAGGGTCTCACTAAGTTGCTCAGACTGGCCTTGGATCACTCTGTCACCCAGGAAGGCCTGGGACTTTTGATCACGAGTAGCTGTTAAGTACAGGTTTGTGCAAACAGCTTTAGAATTTTTCCCCCACAACATTCTTAAAATAAATGTATTTACGTATCTATTTATCTTATATTTATTTATGTGCACTCAGGCATATTCCTGTGTGTGCTACACTGTACACATTAAGTCAAGAAGACAAGTTGTGTATGTGCATGTGTATGTGCGTGCGTGCGTGCGTGCGTGTGTGTGTGTGTGTGTGTGTGTGTTAAAACAAGCTGCAGGAATCAATTTGCTTCTAGTATGTGGGTCCTGGGAATTGATTTCAAGTCGTCAGTGGCCCCCGATGGCCCCTCTCCCAGTATCTCTACTGTGAAGAACTCTTCCCTGGAGGTCTCAGAATATATTCCTTGTCAAGCCTGGTGGCATAAACACATTCCAACACTCAGGAGGCTGACACAGGAAAGCTGAACTTCAAGGTCATCTTCTGAAACCTTTTCTCAAAGAAATCATGGCTGTAACTGTAGTTCTCTAATAGAGAGACTCCCTGGCATCCACAGGACCCTGGGCTTGATGCCTGGTGCCACACAACAACAATAGTAATGATAGTAATAATAATTTATTTGCTCTGCTATCATTCAAATCAGTTCATGGCAAGGGGAGACTTAAAACAAGCAGAGAGCAAGGAATCCGCACAGAAGCACAGCCATCTGGCCACAAGCCTCAATGATGCGTCCCCAAGCCTGACTCCCCCAGGGGCCCACTGTTCCAGTTGTGTGTCCTTGGCTTCTCCCTGTAGATCTATGGTGCTGTACTCAATAGAAAGGCTCTCCACTGAATTCAGCCAGGTCAGACCAAAGGCAGAGATGCTGAAGGCGGGAGCAGAATCCCTCCTGGGGAAACATTTGGCAAGAAATTGCATTTCCCCTGGAGCCCACCCTTCTCAGATACTTTTTCTTGTAAAAAAACAAAGTTAATTCAATGTTTGTCAGTTAGAGCTAGAGCTGGTGTGATTTGATGTAGAATCCCATGCTTCCTTCACCCAGTAGAACACACAGCTTGAGGTTTTACTTGGGAGATGCACAGCTAAGTTGTCCTTCTTTTTATTGACCCTACAGAGACATGCGAGAAATGAAAAACCTCCTAAGCAAACTCAGGGAAACCATGCCTTTACCGCTGAAAAATCAAGGTGAGTCCTCGGAGGTCTCTTTGAGGCAGAGGATATCTTTAACACGCTGAACTTGGAACCTGCTTCTTAGCAAGGTAACGCAAGCCTTTCCCACAAAGAGAGGAAGGCTTTGGACCTTTCCCTTTCTTAGAGATAATGTGATAAGATGACAGGCTCAGTGATCGAGAAAGAGGGATGCACTTACCTGAAAGACGATGCCCCATCCCTGCCAGCCAATCATGTGCTGTGGAAAGCACCACACTGGTGTCTCCACAATAGGATCGAGAGCCTGGCTCTTGTCTGTACAAGGCTTAGTGGAACAATATCCCTCCACTTACATACATGTTTAATTATATAAAATAATAATAGGAAGAATTAATATACATTAGGAACACACTGTGTGCCGCTATCCTAAATACTTCATATGTGTCTGCTATGTTGGCTTATACCTTTTTTTTTCTTTTCTTTTTTCTTAGGGGTCAAAGCAAGGACCTTAAATGTTAGGCAAGTAGTCTACCATGAGCTATATCCCCAGTCCCCTACTTAAATCTAATAATGATTTAAGAAGATTCTATGATATTTTTCCTAATCTGCAGGGAGCTACGACAAGGGGATTAGCCTGTTTCTCAGTGCCATACAGATTACAATGGAATGACTGAGCTGTGAATTTGAACTCAGGAAGCCCATCTCCAAAGCTCTGCAAGAGAATACAACCTGACACAGACACAAATGGCTACTCACCAGAATCGGGGATGGTTGTAATTTTGTTAACTATTGGATCCCCGGTATCTGGAGCCTGAAATGCAGTTAGAATACCACGCGGTACAAACAAATGTTTGTTAAATCTTCACCCAGCTTTGTGGGACTCCAAGGCTGAAGACGTGCACAAAAGGAAATAATAAGTGCTTTATGTGAAACATACGTAGCTAGAGCAGCCATGAGCAAAACATTAGCTTCAGAGAGTGGTACCAAGAGGATGGGAAAGACTCTTTAATGGCAAGAAAGAAACTCCTGTTTCTACCGAACAAAGCCTGTGCAGGAGGGAGGGAGGACAGTACACCGTTTGCCTGGGAGCAAGGGAAGCTGAGTGAAGAGGAGGGGAGGAGGAGGACTTGGCAGAGGAGCTGAAGTGCCTCTTGGCTCAGAGAGCATCTCGGCAGAAGGTGGAGAGGTGGAGGCAGGCGGGAGCACCAGACAAAGGCTGAGGAGCAGCATAGGCTGCTCTGTGCTGGAGACCTGGGTCAGAAGAGGGAGCAGGGAAACAGGCAGGGCATTCCAAGCAAGCCCCCAAAGCCTGCTCACCCCACACCACCCTCAGAACTGGCCAGGGTGCTCCAAAGTCCTGGGAGAAAGTAGACATGTAGTAGTAACTCGATTTCTCTGACCACACATACAAATCTGCTGAGAAGTAAGCATGGGTTGCAGATGAAGGGCTTCAATTAACTCTAGCCTTGAGTTCAGATTCTGGCTCTGTTGTTGTCCATCCCTGTGACCTAACACAAGCTGTTTGACTTCTGGGAATCTCAGGTTTCTTGTGCCTGGTTGGGGGAAGACTTCTGATGGTGGATCGAGGATTAGCGAGCAGTACACTACATGCCTGTCATCAAACTTACGAACAGCAGAAGCTCAAGGGAGGCTTCACTGTTGCTGTGTCTGTGGAAACTGTTCTTATCATTTCCTAGCTTCCCTCCCCCCACTCAGAACTCCAAGCCAGCAGCAAGTAGAACTCAGCCTGCAAAGACTGTAGGTCGTATCCAGGTCAAATCAGCTTGAGCTCCAGGCCAGAGAAGAGGCCTCTGAAACTTCCCATTTGGAACACAGATTAGGATCAATAGATTTGACAATCTCCCTGGAAGACTCTACGCTGCCTCTTACTGAGTCACATATTCAGCTTCTCAGGAGGGTAACGTCCCACGGTGCCCAGTCTGAATTTTGTGAATGTCATGAAGTCTATATAATTTTTAAGTTTTTTATTAACTAATTGTTTTATATTCCAATCCCAGGTCCCCCTCCTCTCTTCCCACTTCCCCCACCCACCCCCTGCCTCCCATCTGCTCCTTGGAGAGGGTAAGGCCTCCCCTAGGAAGTCTACTAAGTCTGTCCCACATCTCATTGAGACAGGACCAAGGTACCTCTCCACCCTCCACATCCCTGTGTCTAGGCTGAGCAAGGTATCTCTCCATATAGAATGGGCTCCACTAAGTCGGTCTTAGCCAGGTTCCCCGTTTGTCAGACCTGAGTCAATGATGAAGTCTGTATTTTAAGTGAACCCATTTTAAGCTTTTCTTCCACAACTAGTGCTGGTCCACACAGCCATTTTGGAACTGTATGTTGACAGAAACACAGAAATTTCATTTTAATTAGGGAATTTTCAAAATCATGGTAAGTATAATATAAATGAATACTTTGATATTCTATAAACAGAAAATTATGGGACTTTCAAGTGTATTTGTGAGATAAAAGAGCAACAGCAGTTAAGTGTTGGTACTAAGAAGGAATAATTGCCCAAATAAGAAACACCAGGTCTTAAATCACTAATCCATCTGGAAAACGAAAATACAAAGATGTATTCAGGAAGTGTTTCAGTCACATTCTAACAATAAGAAGAATAGGGGAGGCAAAGGGCTTTGGGAAATCCAGGCCTCTCATTCTGCAGTGAAACGGGAATGAACACTTAGCAAATTGGTCCGCACTCACAGTGTGCTGTCACTGTCGGTGGCCAGAAGGGTGTGAGAATTGGAGGAAGGGGCCAGACAGGCCCTGAGAGAAGGATAACCAGTCTCTTGAGACATTCTCTGACAGACACATATGGCAGGGTCATTCTATTCATTTCCAAAGGCATCCTGATTCTTCCCTGTGCCTGCACAGACTGGGATGCCCACAGAGGCTCCCCACATTGGCAATCTGTGTGCCCCGCAGGTCTGAGTTAAGGTGCGCAGGAAATGGAGTGATGTGTGGAAAAATTATTCCAGTTCTTTCACGTAGAACCTTGCTCTCAAAAGCTGGTTCTAACTGGTTGAAAACCATTATAGCAAGCCATCTGTTTCTTTTCTGGCTTCTTTCCTTTCTGTTTTTATTCCATTTGCATGTGTGTTGGAAACAGAAAGAGGGGGAAGATGTCACTCATGGTCCTGGCTTCCTGTGCTTGGACTGCCGGCCTCCTTTGAGCCCCTGCCAGCTCAGACTCTGGTTCTTCACTCGGAAGTGGTCCTGAATTTATTTGATTACCGCCCCCCACTCCTTACTCAACAAACGTTCACTTGAAGTTGATTTTCGCTGGGAAGAAAGGCAGTGTGGCCCAGAGCAGGGGTTTAAACCATCCCGGAGGCACCTTCATTTTATACATCGCCTTCTCTGCCGGTGTCCTTCCATCCTGAGCTTGCAGACACAAGTTCCCAGAAGGAGAGTGGACCACCCTTGTTCTGTGATACCTGCAGGCAGTGTCCAGGTCTCCTGGCTCTAGGCCTGCTGTTCCTTCCCTTGCTTCTGTGTCCCTCCTGTCCTCTGTTCTGGGTCATTGGCAGTGCTGCAGGGAGCTTCATTAATTATGATCAGCTTGCTGTGTCCAATGAATTACAAATGGAACCACCTGTGGGGAGCCCACAAGGTTACTGACAAAGGCTCGGAGGAGACTGGGACTTGAAGGGCAAGCCTCTTCTAAATGCACGCTGTTATACAACAGATGCGCAGAAATAGATTAAGCCTGAAAGACAGTTTCACCTTTGCTACACTTCTGACTTAATGAGGTCTGTGGGATGTGTTGGTGTCTTTACTCATGTGTGGAATCCAGTTGTTGACAGTACGAATTAGAATCCATAGGAACTGAATCTGCTCTAGAACGGGGATTCAGTTAGGAGGCGAGTGCTGTATTCCAGATGAGACACGCTTCAGAGATTATGTAATGTCAGGGGACTAAGGAGAAAGATATGGCAGGTCAGATATGATTAGTAAGGGAGAAAGCAGAATTAAAGATGAATCTGGGTTTAGTCTTGGATAGCAGAATGAACGATGATTCGGTCAGTAAGTGGAGAGAAGGAAGCAAGAGGCCTCAGGTAGAACCTGACCACAGTTTTGGGCATGCAGGAAAGTGTAATATTCAGTGGTTAGTAGTGTTGAGGGAAGACATCATCCAAGAAAAACTGGAAACAGATCAAAGTATCCTCAGAACAGTGGTCACTGGAGCGCTAAGACAGCTGCAGCTCTCCACGGGAAATTTGCCAAGAGAATGCTCTGGGATGCAAAAATGTAAGGCTTGAAAAGAAAGACAAGTAGTTCACAAAGGGATCCCAAGAAGAGCATCAAAAGAGCATTGCAAAATGAATCAAAGAAATTTGCAAGGAAGGGATGGCTAATTATGCAGGGTGATTACGCTGGGTAAAAAATGCCGAGTCTGAAGGATTTGGCAGAAAGGTAGTCAGTCACTGGTGGTGATGGCAAAGACAGCTGACTTGGAATTTGGGACAGGGAAGCCTGGTTGAGGAAAGCTATTCAATGAGTGGGAGCTATAGAGCTGGGACAGCAAGGATAAACATATGAAGATTTTCATAAAGTTGTTTTTAGCGTGGTAAGAAGATGGGATTAGAGGCAGTTAATCTACCCAGGCAATTGTTTAGAGAAGGGATGGGAACAGGAAGGAAAGCAGAAGCATGGAGCAGTCAGAAAATGGAAATAAGAAAGCAGCTGAAGCTAACCCCAAAGGGGAGATTAGCAATCAGCCATAGTGGGAAGGCTGTGGAGGAAGGGAAGCATATGTAAAGAGAGAAGCAGGAGGTAATTTACCATGGAGGTAATTTTAAACAGGTTTTGTTTGCACTACCCCCTCCTCCATGAACCTTTCAGTCCACCCTGACTAGACTGTTTATTTGAACTTGAACTAAGCTGCCATTGGTGTCCTATATCTGCGTTCATAGTATCCCCTTCATTCAGAATGTGTACCCCCTTGAACAAACACTCAAGTTCTTCTCATTCCTTGTGGTCAAGAATGGTGATCAATGTCTATATGAATCTTCCATGAATGGTGCTCTTCTCTAAATGGGAGTAACACCTTTGCCCCCTCTCCTTGGGAATTCCCTTGGGTATTTCGCATGCTTTTTTAAATGTAGTCTCACAGTGGAAGACAAGAAAAGGTCCTTGAGGCCAGGGCCATGTTTCTTTTAAAACCCATCTTGGTATTATTGTTACTATCCAGCACCAGATATATTGGTTTCTTACATCATTGCTGTACTAAAAGTACCTGAAAAACAGCTTAAGTGTGGAAGGGCTTATTTTGGCTCGCAGTTCTAGGGGATACAGCCCTTCATGGCAAAGTGTGACAGCAGGGAAGGCTTTGGGGGAAGGGAAGCACATGTAAAGGCAAGGAAGCTAGAGGAAGCAGGGAATATTCGGGTAGCTTCTAAGCATCAGAGACTGCTAGTTAACTTGTTTCCATAGAAAAGAGAGCAATGAGTAGGATGCTCTTCCGTCCAGGACCTCACAGAGGACTATTGTCCACCTACAGGGTAGATCTTCCCACCCATATTAATGACGTCTACACACACCTTCACTGACCCATCTGGAGATGTGTCTTCCTGATAACTCTACATCCAGACAAGCTGACAATCAAGTTAAGCATCACCTAGATCTTCTGTTAATTTAGTGGTCCTCAAGGTCTGCTCCTATGACTCGAAGCATCAGTTGTTGTGTGATAATCTTTCTGTACACTGTGAAGTGGTATCTTTGCCAAGGCACCTTCTGATTGCTTTAATAAAGGGCTAAATAGCCTGTAACTAGGCAAGAGAAGAGGGAGAGAGAGGAACTCAGGAAGAATCTAGGCACATGAGAGAGGCCAGAAAGACACAGAGGGGGCCAGACGTACAGAAAGGAGGTAAAAAGCCATATGGCAGAATGTAGATTAGTAGAAACTAGTTAATTTAAGTTATAAGAGCTAGTGGAACAAGCCTAAGCTAAAGCTAACCTTTCATAATTAGTAATAAGTCTTTATGTCATTATTTGGGGGCTGATGGTCCCAACAAGAAAGTACTACTACAATTGGCAGCTTTAGGAACTTGTAGGAAAATCTGCTTTTCTGGCTCCATGCCAAACCCACTGTTTTAGAAACTCATGGGGTGAACTCTATAATTTGTGCATTGCAAGGGCTCAGATGATGCTAATACAGTTGTTGTTTGGTAGCCACTGAGTCCTCTAAAGTGTGTTCTCACTATACATCTGTGTACATGTGTGAATGAATAGAAGAAACAACTACAGTTCCCACCTGACAATTTCTCTTAACTATGTCTGAGAACACAGCTTTAAACTCAGACTGTAATTTAGAATTGTTTTATGTCCCTCTTTTTCCTCAAAATGCCATCTCTATAACAAATATTAACAAAAGGAGATTGAATAGTAGAGAAATAATGTCACTGTTTCTTAAGAGATCCCAGGGTCCTTGGACTTGCTGGTGGTTACATTTCCTAGTCTATCTTTCCATTCACTTTCTCTGAGGCTTTGCTTCCTCAGTTTCCCTTCCCACTTTTCATTTTCAGTTTACAAGCTGTCTTTAGTTACGGTTTTGTGAAATTGTGCACTTTGTGAAAAATGTAACTAATGGGAGCCTTAATATGCTATATTCCATTATGCATTTACAGTAAAATTCAACAATTCCCTAACAAGTTCAATTGGACTTGCCCAGAGATTTAAAAATGAGTCAAGAAATATTCTATTTTGCTCTCATTCTTTCAACAGCCTTTCAAAATCCAGTGACAAGATTTTAATTCATGTGGTAGAGGCAGGGTTTTAGTTCATGTGGTAGAGACAGGATTTCAGTTCATGTGGTAGAGATGGGGTTTTAGTTTGTGTGGTAGAGACATCCTTACCTGGAGTTGAGTTAGCTTCAGAAGGTTTGGGGAAACTTTGCAGCATGATGAATTGTAGAACTCACTACAGGTATGGCCTTCCTATGCTGCAGAAAGCTGTTCGGGATTTGTGCCAAGGCTTTTCAAGCTCTTATTTCTCCTCAGCCCTAGGTGATGATCAGACAAGCTTTAGGTTAAGCAAAGGTGTGACAAATGCACTTCAAAGAAAGACACCAGCCGGCAGTCATCCTTAATAGGTAACATGACCTTTGCTTAGTGTAAGCATTTTCCCATCCATCATTAAACTGTCCACTTGTGAGGGAAACATGTGTATGTGCACACACATCTCTGCAGCATAGATACCCTCTATATATGCATGCACCCACCCGTGTGTCTCATATTATACACGAATGGACACAAACACACACACACACACACACACACACACACCTCACACTCATACACCTACAAAGAAATGGGAAGAAGAGGAATAGAAAGAAGTTTTCATTTACTGTAATGGGTAAACAAGACAGTCTTGGTGAAAATCTCATATCTGTGCATATGACACCTCTGTGCTTTTAACATTAAAAAAAGACAGCAAGACATAGCCTGTCATGACAGTACACATGTAAATACTTTCCTTTATAGATGTACAGTAGATATTTGTTTATGTGACGTGAACAATGCATATGAGACAGGAAGGGGATGTAAGCATTTAAATGATAGAACTTACCAGAAAAAGAGAGAGAGAGAGAGAGAGAGAGAGATTTTATCTATAAATATCTTCCTAGGTTTGATGACTCTGCTCCCATAAAAGCACAGAATTGCCAGTGAAGTTGAGTTTCAGAAAGTATAGCCATTATCTAAGGCGACCCTAAGCTACTCAAAGCCCCATCCAGTGAGGTTAAGTTCATTGACCACTTGCTAGTTAAAATAAGAGTCCCAGAAATGATGAAAGAGTGAGTTATGTATGATTCCTTTCTTTTCTAAAAATATTATTCTCCTCTGGGAGCTCTCGCTGCTCAGTGATGCCCCGCTCATGCATAGGGCCTGGCATTTCCTCCAGTATCTTTGCTCTTTTGAAACAAGTTAAATATAGGAGAAAGAGGTTGTACTCTAAGCTCTCAAAATATTGATGTCCAGATTATTGCATATTATTTTTCACAATTAAAAGAGTGAAGAATGAACCTACTTGTTTCCCCATTTAAGGAATCTGAGTTTTATAGGAGTGTGTTAATCACTGGAGGTGAGGAAGGGGATCATGTTCAAGTCATTTGCTGTGCACAGCTGGATGTTCATTTTTCTCCTTTGCCTTAAACATGCTGAATTTATCACAAATTGAACCAGTACCAAGATCCCTGTCAGCTTAGGTGGGCAGTATCCCTGTGCTAATAAGTATAGCAAAGTGACACATAAGAGACTTGAGGAAGATGAGGGCACCTAGGTACCTGGATGGAAATAGTTTTGTGAGAGGATCAGGAAGCCAGGGTTTGTTTTTGTCCTCAACAGTTTCCTAAGCATCCAGACTCTGTAATGAAAATAAATAAATAAATAAATAAATAAATAAATAAATAAAACTCAACCACAAACCAGTTCTGTTAATATGTTAATAATATAGTGTCAATATGTTAATAATATAGTGTCATCTAACTTTAGATAGCGCCCCTGGCCAAGGTTCCATCTCCTATAAAGTTGGAAGTGGGGAAGGGGACCTCCTCAACCCCACTCTGAAAAGCCACCTTCGGTTGCAACCATGTGTTTTGTCACAAGATGACGCACTGGCTCTGCCCCTGCTGGCCATTTCCAGCTAATGCTTTGCAGTCCTCTCGCCTCTGAGACCCATGCTTTCCAATTCTGCTCTCCCAGGGCCTCCCGAACTCCTTGCCTTTCAGACTGAAGTAGGTTTTAAGAACCCAGCTCCGGAAAGCAAGTTAGCTTTCTTGTTCATTTCTTCCTTGCTTGTTATTATGCTAAAATTTTGCCCCCCAAAGTGTTGATTCAATATTTATCAATCTAACCTAATGCGCATATGCATTATACATATATATGTCTTACCTATGTGTATATATACATAGTGTGTATGTGGAAAATAGCTAAAACTTCTTCCTAAGACACAAAAGAAGTAGAATGGGATCAAAAGAGCGGTACTGTGTAAAGGGAAATAATCACTAATGATCTATTTAACTGAGTTATTTCATGTAATTTTCACTTAAGGTAAGTATCATGCACTATTAAACCCGAATTCACACACAGGGATATCAAAGTTTAGTGAGGTTGAGTGATGGATGAGGTCCACAGAAGGCAAGTTCACAAGGCCCGCCAAGCTTCCTCAGATGTTGGATTGCTTCTCTTAAGGTATGAGCAACTTCCCCCAACTGAAAGACTGTCTCTGAGCCCTTTCAATTGAATTATAACCGGTGATATTCAGCCTTGGAAATTTTGTCCCAGGGGACAACTGTCCAAATCTGAGAACATTTTTGGTTGCCCCAACTGATGGAGGCATCTTAGTGAGTGAAGGCCATGGATACTGCTGAAGTCCTTCAGTGCTCGGGGTTGTCTCGTATAGCAAAGCATTGACAAGGTCCTTCAGAGCTTGAGACAGCTTCTAACTGGTTCAAAGCATTAACATTGCAGGGGTTTAGAGTGTGGTAGACAGGACGATGGACTTTTAAATCCACTTCATGAAGAGCAGGTTGTTTCGTCTGTGCTTACTGCTATGCGTATTCTGTCCTATCACAGATGACAGCAGCCTTCTGAATCTAACTCCCTACCCCATGGTTAGAAGACGGAAGAGACGGTTCTTCGGGTTGTGCTGTCTTGTCTCAAGCTAGGAGGTTTCCGCTGGAAACTCACAGCCAAGATCACCTGAAGAACACCCCAGGACCGGAAACCTCCACACAGCTGAACACCGAGAATGGTTTTGAACACCTTTTCTATGCTTCCCTATTACTTTTATCTGCCTCTCCCTGCCCTTTTAGATAATTTTACACTTGAAAGCAGCTGCCATCAAGGAAAAAAAAAGAACAGATTCAAAAAGGCACAGCCTGTTTTTAAAGGGATTTTTTTAAAAGTTGACATTGTGCATGTCTGCTCTGAACCATGCCGTGACAGATGCAAGAATTATGATTTTTAAATCTTTAAAGGTTTTTTAATGTATTCTATAGAGAAAAATATTTCACATATAATAGTATATCTGTAGCTCTTGCTGATCTCATGCTAACAATTTATCAGATATGAAAGATGTCTCTAAACATAGAAATCTATTTAAAACAGCAAAACTGTTCAAAACGCAATCTATGAGTGTCATTAGAAATAATACTGTAACCAAACACACACCACCTCATGCGTTGCTTTCTCTACACTCATTTACTTTAGTCTTCCATTCTGTCAGAATTTGTGTCAGCATCAAAAAAACTTAATTTATAATGCAACAAAACCACATATGAAAAATACATTTTGTAAATACACAGTAATCCTACTATCTTCGTACAATGCATATGGGCAACTACTTTTCTTTTAATCCAATGGTGTCTTTTTAAGCTTCTTGGAAAATGAAGTTATCCAGTTAGGAAATGGTGTAGTCACATATACAATTACCCTCAAATGTAAAATTGAATATTATCACATTTTGTTTGAATTGAAATCTGAAGCATGGAGTCCGCACATCAGCATAGTGTTAAATCTCTTAGGGCATGCTGGAATTAGCTCAGATCATAAAACTCTTTAACATGTTACATTATTAATGAAAAGATGTTTTAGTTAAGCTTAGCGTGTCTCATTTTAGATGACTATGCAGATATGGCTTTTCCAATGTTACTCTGTGTCTTGTCTTAATGTTTAGCATCTTGAGAGCAGGACACATTAAGCAATACTGTATTTTAGAAAAGAGGGAGCCATGTGCTGTGTTTTTCTGCCCACGGCTCTGTTATGGTCTTCTTCAACCGAACTTGTTATATGGTACAGACCCTGTTTTATTTTCTTCTGCCCTCCCTTTGACCCTTTTCCCAGGGAGAACTCCCCAGGAGTTGGAGATGAACCTTTGCACTTCCTGCCTTGTTTTCCATTCTCTGAACAAGTCAGAAGGAGGTACCAGTGCCCAATCTTGAGAGGGACAAACTAGCTACAAGGGGCTTTAATGCTAGCCCCGGGTAAGCACTTACTTGTACACTAATATCTTAGCCTAAAACTGAAATGTTTTAAAGATGGGAAGCATGGATAATTATTGCATTAGGTTGAATTCTATGACATGGCTGATACCGACTGTTTTGACCTATTTTAAAAAATGGCAATTTCACACAGTTCAACCTAATATCTGGAAAGGAAATGGTACAGCATATGGAATTTTCTCTTATCTTTTTGTATCAAAAGTAAAAGAATTCAGGGATGGAAAAGGCCTCCAAAGTCTATCATTGGTCTGCATTTCAATTCTACTGTTGGCCATGCTCTTGGAATCCCACACTGTGTTACACTGAGCTGGTAACTAACGTATTGTTATGGGTATGAATGGATTCGCTAAAAGAAGTACTTTTGACAAATTACATGAGAAAATTATAGTTTTTTTCTGAATGGGAATGTTCACAAAATAATGGAAGGAATGTGTTATTTAAAGACTCCTTACAAAGCAAGGAACTCCTCCCAACTCTCCTGGCCCACCATCTTGAATAAAACTTAGCATTCACTCCAGCACACACTTCATTTCGAAAGAGATAGCCCTGAGGTCATCTCATTTACGAGCTGTCATTTCTAAATGGCGTGTTCGCAGCTCCTGTCTCTGTTCTGTCGCACGCTCTGGCTGGACTGACACCTACACTTCAGCCTCATTCCTAGCAATCCATGCAAACTTACTAACTGATGAGCCCGCGGTGTGCCGCACGCCCCTGTTGATGCCTGGCCTAAATCACTTCCGGCTTTGTTCATCTGTGCCTGCTCTCTCCTTAGTCTCAGCGTGATGATAACACCTTCTGTGCAATTGTCCTTTGTACAGCTGAAGACTGTTAAAAAATAAAAAATAAATAAAATATTCAGGTCTCACCTCCATGTCTGAGAAGGCCGTGGTAGCTACTCATGGAGATGGGAATTTGTCTAATTACCTAGCCAGACTTCCATATCTAAGGTAATACCGTCCAAGCACCTTAGCTTTTATTCAGTGCCTGCCTTTCAGCCGTTGCTCAGTTTTATAGTTCCCATAGACACACTCCGAGATTGACAGACCACCACTCAGTAGCAGGTTCTAAAGCCACATTCAGCAATCAAAGCTCTGATGACTCCGCTGGCTCGTGGTTGCCATGGGTGATTGGCCATTCACCACCTCCCCTTAGCTACGCCAAGTGCACTGGGGAGGAGCTGCCCTCTCTCCTGCCAATGGACTGCCTCAGGTGTGGGTCCATGGAATAAATAAGTTCTGCTGCCTCCGCTCCCCGTGGGGAACTGTCTTTGCCCTCACAGAAACTCCCAACTGACCTGGGGAAGGAGAAAACACCGACGATTCTCTCACAAACAAACCCACGTGCTTCAAATAGAAAAGGATGGCAGTGTGTGTGTGTGTGTGTGTGTGTGTGTGTGTGTGTGTGGCACACACTCATTTTATCACTATCCTTTTTATATCCTATTTTAGTTTTTGAAGGAAATTATAAAAAATACATTTTTTTTTGTCCTGGTGGGAAACCTGTAAAACATCACCGTATATAAAAGTTAAACATCATCTGGACTTCACCACAAATGTATTGTTTAAAGCCAAGTTCTAGGGCTCTAAATCAGTTGTGGCTGGGCCCAAAGACTCTTTTGGAGAAGACATGAATTAACCTCACGGCCAACGTATCACTTTAATGTCTGACCCCGATGTTCAGCGTCTAGATGCAGACTCACCGCAAATTGCCCTGGTGTGCCATTCATTATTCAGGTACAAAGAAAGCTGTAGCCGCAGCAGGGTCCTAATGCCAGGGGGAAATTCTCCAACCCTGCCCAACCATTGGGTTCCTCCATATTCTTGTAAAAAGTTAGGACGCCCCGGATTAGGCAATACTGCCACCTAGTGGAATCTGAGCTTCAAAATGACACAAAGCAAATACAAAAAAGGTATCTCATTTATTAGAAAATCTGTGACTGGATTAACAATGAGCCGGTTAGGACTTCCAAACTGTGAAAGTCTTAGGATTGAAAAAAATTAAGACTTATCATGCAGCCCAAGTCCCTTCACCACACATCCGTGCCTAAGAAATATCTGTGTTCCTTTTGTTCTAGAATATCATGACAGTAAACGCCTCACAGTAAATTGCTACAGCCAACTACAGCACCCACAGTACACCCAATAACATAAAATAACTGAGTACACTACACTTCAAATCTAAGAAAAGTTTGGATAATTAAGTAAGTTGTTTGGAATAACTCTCCTGGGAGCAATACTACGTCCATAATTTAATAAAAGCAAATTCTAGATGAAATGAGCATTCAAATTTTAAAACATATGAATAAGTGATAAACATGAAAAAGCCTTATCAGTATCCATGAAGATGTCATTTTAACGTGGGGGATAAAAGCCTTTCTAAGCATAATACCAAAGGAAGAAGTGATAAAAAAAAAAGATGATGGGTTGGACTAATGCTGTTTTTAAAAGAAAGTAAAAGTCCAATACAATAAAGAAATAAACCAAAATAAGAGGAAACAATATTTGCAATTCATGAAAGAAAGTTACTAGACCTCTACTAGATGAATAACCACAGCACTTTGGGGAGGTCTCAATGGTTTGCAAGACTTGTAATTTTTCCACTATGGCTTGTATGATTGCTGACATATCCCACTGAACTGAAAGCATAAAAGGCATCAACCGCATACACTTTGCTTAACACTGTTCTTTCATCTCCTAACATAGTGCTATATAAAAACCAAATGATGAAAACATATTCATTGAATGAGAAGATAGTGGATAATATTTTATAATTTGGAGAAAGAATCAGACATTCCAGTAGATTCCAATTGACCTAAGAAACCAAGGTAGTAATACACCATAAACTAAAATAATCCACTGATGACATTGAAATATTTGAATGTACTAGTAACAAAAACTACAAATGTGAACAACTCCAAAAGTCACATGTAAATTCCTGGAAACAATAAGGAAGTTTGAGATATAAACATTCTCTTGCAGTTAGCAAGAGTAAAAATTTATCTGGCCTTTCCAGAAAATATTTTGGTACTATGTATTTTTCATGCACACTCAGCAATTTCACATTAAGGAAGTTCTCCTTTTAAAAGTTCAGCAATGGGCCAGCAAGACGACTCAACAGGGAAAGGCTCTTGCCACCAAACAAGTTAGACCCCTGGACTTACATGGTAGAAGGAGGTAACTGACTCCCCTTCAGGTTAGCCTCTAATCTACACACACACACACACACACACACACACACACACACACACACACACACAAAATGTAATTATGTCATCTAACATTCAGCAAAACAAGTGAGCTAAGATACATTTATTCATTATTTTAAAAGTCATACAAGAAAGGACGTTTTGTAAATATGCCTACATTGTATGGTATATCCTTTCAATGGATACCATGCACCAATCAAGAATACTCACCACGTATGTTTATTGAAATGTGCAATTATGTTGTTAAACAGAGAGAAGGAACTAGGAGAATTTCTAGAGAATTGCCCTCTTACAAACATACCTACACGTGTGTACATTACAGAATGTGAAAGGATGTTTGCCTATAGGACAACAGCATTTCTCTCTGGGAGGTGAGATTTGGAGCAATCATATTTTCTTTCTGCATATCTGTGATTTCTGACTTTTTCACAATGAGCATGTAGTATCTGTATAATTTCTTCAGGGAATAAACACTGATGTTGACAATATATTAAAAGAAAAACATGTTATAAAACAGTATGTATAGTATAATAAAATATTTGTAAAAAAGAAAATCACATATAAATATATCTAAGTATGTATATATATGCATAAGAAAGCTAGAAGGCCATACACTACAATGTTAATAGCAGTTATCCATGGGTAGTGGGATTATGGGTGATTATTTTTCTTTTTGCTTTTCTGTGTTTTCTAATTTTTCTACAATGAACATGTATTACTTGTGTAATAAAAACTAATAATAAAAGTTTTAAAAATATGTAAAGCAGACACTTTGAGTCATCACTTGTCTCCTCTCCCCTACCCACATCCCTTTTCCATTCTTGTTTGGCTTACTCCTTGTCAAAATGTGAGCAGTGGGATATGGAAGGGGAGGGCCAGGGCAACATAAGATAGAGTAGAAAGGGTTGGGGATGAAAAGGAAGAGGGAAAGGGGGGATGGAGAGAAAAGGGAGGGAGGCAGGGAGGCAGGGAGGCAGGGAGGCAGGGAAGCAGGGAAGCAGGGAAGCAGGGAAGCAGGGAAGCAGGGAAGCAGGGAGAGACGAAATGGTGAAAGAAAGAAATGCATCCTGTGAAGTCAATAGAGGAAATGAAGGGGCTTTGAGAACAGTTTCACCAGTAGCAATCCCTAAACCCAGCTCATCTGGCAGTCACAGGAGGACCAAAGGAAACAACAATGAATTGCTTTCTTTTCTAATAGAAGGACACAAGTGTGTACTTGGTTGCACACACATACTCCTGCAAGTGCCCACACTCACCCAAAGAAAGATCTACAAATTCCAACAGGGATGGACTGCAAGAAGCTCACTGGTGGGCTGTGCAACCCTGCCTAAATCTCAGGATGTTGCCACCAAGAACAATACTGTCACCATTATTCCAATATCCATTCTCTCTCTCCTTGGTAGCGGAGTCCCAAATTTCTGAGAGATATTGACCACCTCATATAAAGGCTGCTGCCTTCCCCAGGTGTTCATGGGTATGAGGACAGCACCAAAGCTGAATGTCAAGCAATAGGATGCGGCAAAAGCTTGTCACCTACAGAAGCGATGCCCTTCACACTGTTGGCATGAATCTCATCTTCCACTCCTTCTGAAAGAGTGTGGGGGTTAAGCAACCACCTAGATTCAGAAATGCAATCACACCGGGATCACAGAGGTTTTTTTACTCCTTCTTTTCCTTATTGAAGTACTAGGCTTTTGCAGGTGAGTGAGTACTCTACCACTGAGCTATATCTCCAGAGTTCTCTTTACTTTTTGAGTCTGAGTCTTCACTGCCCTTGAAATGACCAACTTCCTGCCTCAGACTCCCAAATGATTACAATTAGAAGCCTGAGTCTCCATGCCCAGCCTCAGAAGTTTCTTTACAGGCTTGCACCACTTCCCTCCATACTGTTACCTATGAAAACCAATCAATCAAGTTATCTCTGTCTTTAGACATTAATAAAATGAACCTGTGTATAGAAGAAGCTGTTAGCTGGGGAATGGTGGACCATGCCTTTAATCCCAGCACCCAGGAGGCAGGAGCAGGCAGATCTTTATGAGTTCAAGATCAGCCTGGTTTACAGAGCAGGTTCCAGGACATCCAGAGCTGTTATATGGAGAAACCCAGTCTCGAAAACCAAACAAAAATTAAAAATTAAATAGAATAATAAATGAATGAATGAATGAATAATAAATAAAATTAGATGAAGAAACTGTCTGCTAAACATTTGGTTCCCTCATAATAAGGAATGGATAATACCAATATCACATGAAGTTCAACCATATAACAATCTGCTAAGGACCAAAGTTCTATTATTAGAAAAAATAAACCAAACTTTGAATGATGTTGTTAAAGGCCAAAGGGAGCAGGAGAGAACTTTTACCTACTATTTTGAAAAGAATAGGGCAGAGAAGGGACACACCTTAGTAGAGTAGAAACCTTGCTTAGTGTCATAGTTAACCTTAGCTATCAACTTGAAGCAACCCAGAGTCACCTGGAAAGAAGAAACTCAATAGGCCAATCTTCATCTGATTGGCCCATGAGCATGTCTGAAAGGCAATTTATTAATTGATGACTGATTTTGAAGGGTCCATCCTACTGTGGCAGGTAGGCCTGAGTTGAATATGAAAAGCAAGCTGGAGGGAGCATGCCAATAGATACCATTCCTCTCTGGTTTCTACATCAAGCTTCTGCCTTGCTTTCCTGAGTGACAACACTAGAGATGAACTATAGTGTGTAAGGGAAAATCACACACACACACACACACACACACACACACACACACACATTTATTAATTATAAATGCTTGGCTGATAGCTTAGGCTTGTCTCCAGCCAGCTCTTACAATTTAAATTAACCCATTTCTATTAATCTATGTGTTGCCCTGAGGCTCCTTTGCATACTTTATGAAATTCCCATACTCTTTCCAAGACTGACTTGCGACTTCTCAGACCCCACCCTTTTTCCTAGCATTGTCTCTGGCACAAAGATCCTGCCTAGTTATCGGCTAATCAGCTTTCTATTAACAACACATTCTCACAGTGTACCCAAAGATTGTTCCACAGCACGGAGACCAGTAGAGGAATGCCACATTACCATTATTTCTAATAGCCAAAACCTGAAAATAATTCCAAGACCCACCAACAGATCATACAAGTAAATGTGATGCACTCATACAACTGGATGGTACAAGGTGGTAAAAGAAGAGAGCTCACTGTGGTTGCATTCAAACTTACGAAAGAACATAACTACTGGGGCAGTTAAAAGCGCTGACAACTCTTCCAGAGGGCCCACGTTCAAATCCAGTACCACACGACAGCTCATAGCTGTCTGTAACTCCAGTCTCAGCAATTCCAATGCCTACCTCTGGCTTCTGTAGACACTGTGTGCACATGGTGCACGCATATATACATGAAGACAAAACACTCCTATATACAAAAGAAAAGTAAGTATTGAAAATAGCATAGCCCCTTCAATGCTGGACTGACAAAGGCAAAATGATAAGGAATGCTTGCTGTTATCAGCAACCGCCATGCTCAGCAGCTGAGACTAGTGCTAAGGTCTCAGGAAAGATTGACAGGGTTTACAGCATCTCTGCAGTTCATACTTGCACTGATTGGATACACTCACTCTATTTATCCCACCTAAGTACAGCTGCTTCTAGATTCTGTTGTCATAGTTCTTGGAGAGACATATTAAAAGAGAACAGTCCTTAGCCCCAATACACACAGTTAATCCCAAGATTATACAGTTGATATTTGTTGTCTCCATTTTTTGCCACCCAGTCTAGGTTCCCTTCATCCTGTCATATCTGGGCTCTGGGACCCTAATCACCAAACTGTATTTGTTCTACTTTCCAACTTACCATTAAGTCTATGCCTGAGCACCGCAACAAACGAACCCATGGGCCTCCTATGTGCCAAGCATATTCCTTTATGTTCCCATCATGGTTCAGTAGCTGCTCCACCCATGTCATGAAGAATGGGGTCCTTCACCAGTCTGTTGGCATGAGAAATCTAAAGTGACTAGCTGTGGCTGACAGTACATTGAGACTCATTTTCTCCTCTCCAAGGTCTAGGACACTAGAGCAGCAATTTTGAAAGATGCAGGAAGAAGCACGAATTCCTCGGAGAGTCAAAGGCCTCTTCTACTTCCAGCCTTTGCCTTTTAGACCCATATATTCCCTATTCGAGCCACAGACCATCAAGTGGGCTTTGACACAAGGAATGTAAAGCCTCGTGATGGACAGTGATGTGTGAGGATCCTTAAGAGGAATGCCATTACTGTTAGGGAACAAGGGGCAAGGTTCATGGATTAAGATTGGCATTCAAGCTAAGGGTTTGTTAGAGAGCAACGGAGTGAAAGAAAAGCTTCAACCCATTCAAAGACAGCACTTACTTCTTTTCAAGAGCCCTTTAGAGAAAGGAGAAAGGAGACACAGAGTGCTGTCATTGCAAAGTCAACTAGAGGTCGACAAACCTGGTTCCAAAATGTCCCCTGAGCAAAGGCACACGTGGGGGCTTGACTGGCAAGTTCTGTCCTCACTGTTGGACAAGGGTATATAGCACTAAACTGGAGCACTAAACTCACCCAACTGGACTTGGAGACATTATGTTTGGGGGATCGGAGTGTTTGGCTTGGGGTTTGGGGTTTGTTTCTTTTTTCTACATTTCTGAATGAAGCAAGAGATTAGTAGATCCCAATGAAGGGTGTTCCTGGAAAAGGGGGCAACTAGAAAGATGAACCTAGCTACTCTGCAGACCTTCTCCATTTGGAGGCTGTTATCTGGAAATGTCCCATCTCCTGAGAGAGTAAAAGCCATGCAAACGGAAAGACTTCCCGGTTGCACTCATCCGGGTCTTTGCAGTTGTTCACGGTGGACAAAGGGCCTGTGATCTGAGTTACTCCACTAGATGGAGCTTCGTCAGATGAGACCAGTAGCAGGAAACAGGAGCTGCAGCCCTTTCCACAGGTGCACACCCTGTGCTGAGGGAGGCAAGGTCTCCGCAGTCCAGTGCAGGATCAGTAGATGAGACACTGTGAGTCCAGGGAGAGTGGAGTTGGCTGTCATCCCGCCGACAGTGAAGGCAAAGCTCTTCAGAACACAGGTTAATCCCAGTCAGGCCGGGTGTCCTCGTCCCCAAGTTGTTTCTCTGTGTCAAAGACACAACAGGTGATGTCTGTTTGACAACAGGGCAGACATTCTTCAGCCTGGTGACAAATTAACACATAATTAGTGACTTAAGACAAAGCATGATGTTAACTGTTTTAGAGATCATAATTGTTAAGATAAGGAATCAGCAGGCCCAAAGCCTCTAGAACTAAATATATTCCCTTTATAGATTCTAAAAAGCTTCCTACATTCCTTGGCTCACCATGCTCCATATTTCCTCATTACTGAAGGGAGGATCAGGGGATACTAATTTACTTTTGCTTCTGAGAGAATAATTTCATAAACCTCTAGATGCCTAATGGCATGCCTGACATAGCAGATGTTTACAGTGGTATCTCCTATCCCTTCCCCTGGAGTTCATTCATTTCATCCAGAAATTCAGAGCACTTCTGACTCATCACATCCACTTAACACAACACTCAGTTAATAGGCAAAAGTGACATTCCCTAGAATCTGGTTGGTGGACTCTGATGGTGCCGCTATGAAGCATAGTAAAATTTTTCCAGAGATGGAGAAGCACTGTCCCAAAAGATCATCTGAAGACATGGAGTTATACACCCGAACTGAGGTTTGCAAATTGTTTTTTAATAAAGTAATTCTGAGAT